AGTACAAGCATGTTCCATAAGCAATTACAATGATGGTGTGCACTGGATTCTGAAGCATGATGACCATAATACATTTCCATTGTTAGTAAAAGTACATAAAAGATATATAAACTGGATAGGTTATCTATAATATTAAAAAAAGGACACATATTTACATTGATATATACATATATGCCAGCAAGATGACAATTATTTCAATATAGAGTATGTACAATATTTATATACTTAAATATATACAATATATGTGTAATTACAAAAAAAAATATTTCAACATTTTACAAACATTAGTTTATAATATATTATATGTCTTTGCTGATAAAAATTATGACTATATAGAAAACAGCCAATTTTTTTTAAAATATATTTTTTTAAATTGTGTTTTTGCAATATTGATTTCATAAAAAAAAGCTATGTTTGTCCTTGAGGAGAGCCTCAATATGCTAGAGTAGCCAGAATCTAAGTGTTCAAACAATTTATTGATAAAATTGTGAGTAGAATTCTTCTTTTAAATAGTATGACATAAATATTTACTAGGATAAATATATAAAAAATATGTGCCACCATAAAAGAAAAAACTGAATGCAAAATTTAGTGGATTTGTCTCATGTTAAAAAGAACAACAAAAACCCATAGCTCACAAGAGAAAAAAAAAACACTAGTAAAAAACATTTCCAATGACATGGAAAAGAAAAGGTATAACAAACATGTAGAAAATAAAGAATAGTACATTAAGACAAAACGGTAAACAAAATCTTAAGTACACAATTTATATGCCATTTAAAAGAAACTAAAGAAACTTGAGGCATTAAGTGATCAGTAAGAGGACATACCCATTTCTATCACATTCCGTAACAAAATATTTAATTCAGCATTATTAACTTTAAAACACATACTATAAATACTCTTCTTATACAGAAAATACTCTTCTACAAACTACTTTACAACTGAAGTACCATTTCATAAACATATCTTGCACTCTTACAGCAACAAGCTTAAATAATTCTTAATAAAAATATTTCAAAGAACAACAAAAGCTTTTAAAATTTAAAATAATTAACAGATTAACTATAGTGAGGTAGATCTTACTTAAGCATATATATATTTACATGGCAGGTGATATTAGTGCCACACAAACAAGATAACCTCCTTGTTTCATGCTACCATTCCATTAATTGAATATAGTGCTTCAGTTCACACTTCCATTAGTCGCACAGCATGTTTCCAAATTTTAAGTCGCAACTACATTATTTCAGTTCTAATCAAAATCTCAAAGCTCATTTTTATCTAACTTCCCATTACCTCTCACTTGCCAGACTAAATTAATGTATTTAAAAAAAAATTATAATTCTCTAATATTTAAGAAGAATAACTAATATTTATAAATACTATACAATAAATCATTGTTTCAAATGACACCAGGTCGTATGAGAAAATTAATGAATTGTTGTGTGGGACTGTGATTACAGTAAAACAGTTAGTTTTTATAATATAGGACCAAATAATAAATTGAACACAACCAAAGGTTAGCATTTTTGAAAAGGTCTATTACATCAAATGCTTCTCCATTTATCAAAACAGTTCACATTAAAGTCTTATTTAAAGACAATGTGAATACACAAAGATGAATATGCAGTGCAAATTTTGAAGTATAATATGAGTACACTTCCTACGCAATATAACATTCAAGGCTGGTAAATATGTTCTACCTCTGAAATGAAATGAAGGATATGGTGCAACAAAGAACAACTGCATAAGCAAAGTTACATAATATGCCCAAATGGGAGTAATAGTGGGTGTTCTTCTGATTTCCAAATAGCATTAGGGTTACATTTGAAATTTTATATATTTCGTATGATTAACAAAACAAAGTAACTTCAAGATATGATTGCCCCCAACATTATCAACCAATGTTATAAAATAAAGTACATTCAAAAGCACCAGAATTATGGAAATAGAAAGAAATCTTTAAAGCAGAGTCAAGAATTAATCAACGATCAGTGGAGTTATTTTGTAATCAATAAAACTGCTTAAAGAAATTTGATATTTTTGATTGAGGTCAAGTGCCACGGTAGTAATTAATGTAATCATGTTCTAGATAAAAAAGAACTGAGAAATGTAATATGCAATTATATTTTTTAAATTCATAATCACACACAACAATTACAGGTAACTCACTATACAAACATTACAAAAAACGGAAGAAAGATACCAGTATCTCTTATTTTTACTATCACCTGTCCGTCCTCCTGAGCAGACCTACCAAACATTTATTTTCAGCACTCATGCATGGAAACTGCTTCTTTCCCTCACTTTTTATTGATTGAAAGTGTTACTTTGCGGTGTGTATACAGCAATGTAAACTGGTAAAAACTTTTTGAAGCCAAAGTAGACTTTGCTGTACATATACTGCAAAGAAGTCATTGCCATATAAAACAACTTGTACCTTACTGCAAAGTAAACAAAATACTGGTGTGACAATAATTACCATGGCTATCCCCATGTGTTTTGAGTATGATCATCCCAGAAGTATAAACTTATAAGTTTCCATGAATTTGTACTAAAAAAATAATGTATTGAACTTGTACAAAAGTCTCTTTGATGTACATATTACAAAATGCTGAACTCTGCTCGTCTTGCCTTGTCCACCAACATTTCATTCGTATGCCAAAGACTCACTTTCTGTACTAGTTCCGTAAACAACTATTCTGTTAATGGAGGACTCTTTTCCATTTGAAAAAAGGATAAACACTACGCATGCAATATGAACATTACATGTATTATTTCCTGCCATATTAAGCTTCTTAACATACAAAAACAGTCTTCCCAAAACATCATTTTTCTTGTTTAATTGTTCCCATTTCCTCAAGGAGGGTTTGTATTCCTTCAGGCATATGACCTTCATCAATCTCATGTCCCCAAGTTTTGTACTGAAAAGAAAGTGAATAATTATGACCAAAAAACAATGCAATTGACTAAAAATATAAATTTTAAGTCAGGCAATGACTTTACCAAAAAGAATAATTTTGGACCAAACAATGTAGACATCTTGTGGAACATTTTAAAACTTTACATAAACAAAAGCACAAAGAGATAGATTATAATCTCAATATCCTTAATAATTGATCTGATTTACTGAAATTAATTTTTTGGATGCACAAGACCTCAATGTCAAACCAACCACGATAGTGTAATGGATAAAATAGTTTACTGCACACCTAGCAATTTTAGACCCGGAAAATAATTTTGCAGTTTGGAAACACTGGCAGAGGCACGTATCTGGTCAATGAGGCAATATCCCAAAGAGAAATAACTAATTGCAGACCACAATAAGCATGTGTGCAAAATTTTAAAAAGAATTCAACTATTATTATGTAACATTATGAAATCATAAGAAATAATTCGAGAAAAGGTGTGCTGTTGTAGAATCACTAGTTTGTCACTTTTCCAACAAAACAAGTATACATTGACTGTGATATTTAAATACGTAATACTTTCAGCAATAAATGTATTAAATTAGCGATGAGAAAGAGGTTCTTCATTTCATAATTTACTAAAACAAAGAAAACATTCTTGAACTAATTTTAATTCCTTGAAGACAAAATAGACTTTCCATCTTTTTAATAAACTAATAGTAATATGAAATTATTTGTTCAACAAGGAAATTGACATTGTATTGAAGCAATGTAAAGTAAAAATAAGAGAAAACCAATCATAGAAATACTGTATAAAACATATGGAAAAATATTTTTAAATTTAGTTTCCTTTTATTAACTATAGATTTCATTTACAATATTGATAGTCATAGAGTCTTTAAATTTCATTCTTCTTCACACTCTGCAAACTCTACCACTAAGTAATTTATTTAAACATAAAAAAATAATTTCACAATAATTCCATCCCTTTGAACAACAATATTAGACTCCAGTATTTCTTAATATTACAATGAAAACCTTAAGAATAAATAATAACTGAGCAACATTACGGACAGTGAAGCAAAATAAAATGTTATGTTTCATACCTTGTCAAGTTCCTTCCGTAATGCCAAAACAGCTTTTTCACGATCTGCCACCAATTCCTCAAGGTATTGGTATCGTAATTTTTTTCTGGCTCTGCATTCCCTTGCACTTTGGCGGCTACGTTCTATAAGACAATGTTATAGCTTCATAATTTTACCAATACAACTTAACAGGTTTAAATTAGAAGAGTATTGTACATTTGCAGATGAAGTGAACTCTCCCATTTAAGTAGTTTCTAAATCTTGAATTACAGAAAACATAAAAATTGTCCATTCAAAGTAAATTCTGCACTATTTTTACATTTTCAAATTACAAAACATCTGCTTTAAAAAAAAAATGTTGCACCTTTGTCTCTCTATGATGGAGCATTTTTTAGTATGGAATATTTTATGTACATACATGTACCACATTATTACAACATTACTTGTTTGAACTGTCAGAGACAACAACATATCTTTAAAAAGATTTGTTTAACGTGGAAGTCGAAAGTTGCAGTAAAGAAGTTGCAATATGTAGGAATGTAAGGAATTATGGAACAGGCGAGAAAAACCTAAAATTTGCAAATGAATCACAATAGAAATACGACACCTTTTATTGACAATTGAGGTACAAAAGATAACTTTCACCATCGTTACCCGCATTAGATCAGTGTTTACTAGCTTTACAGAGAGTTCATATTAAAACGGTATTCACATGATCGCCTAAAGAATAAAAGAATTAAAGACGACCTTTAACTTACCCAGTCTAGCCTTGATATCGGCCTTGTCCGTTGTTTTCCTGCCAGGCTTACGACCGCGTTTTCCACTTTCTTTTCTGTCACTGACCATTCCTTCCTGTTAAAATTCAAACATAAACAACATGTAGCGATCATGCTGAGATGACAATAAACCTCGAAACACTAATCTACATAACATGTAGATTAGATGCTGAAGTTTGCAAGCATCCTTCTCAATAAAATAATCCTTATCGACAACGACAGCTCACCGCTTCATTACTATCCTGATGTTCCATACTTTTACTGGCAGAATTCATTACATTTGAAATGAATACTGCTTGCAAGTTGACAAAATCCAAGAAACTTCAGCACAATACGCTATTGAAGACCACGACACTGATAACAAACTCCCCGAACTTTATACGTCATACCCAGGGTTGCCAAGCCACTTGGGACAAACTCTCCAGAAAGCCACGCACAAAACACATTCCATCAGACGTAGTGAACCGTCAATCCAATTATAGTACAGCACAACATGAAGTAAAGTTCGAGCCACCGTGTGGTGTAATAAGTTAGCATAAACATATGTAACTTTATGTAGTACTTACAATCTTCAGCACGTAGCTGTCTTTCAATGGAATTCACTTGCTTCGCAGGCTTGCTTTCATCCGCTTTCACTGACACGTTTGTTTTCTACAGTCTTCCCATGTTTGCTTGGACTAGAGAATAAAATATGTTTAACCCGCAGTGGCGCAAGTTACGTAGGGAAAGCCAGGACCATGTCTGGGGGTCCTGTGCTAAACCTCAAATACAAAATGACATAATAAGTCAGTGTGTCTGATAAAATCATAGAGGTAATGAGGTTTTTGTCTCGCACTTTCTTCACAAGATGAGAAACTTATGTAATCGTGCGCCAGAAAACAGCGAATTTTCGGCAGTGAAACTTTTTGTTGGGCCCTGGTAACGAAAAAGTGGATAAATTCTGTTCCTATATATAGCAAATTACTTCCTCTAACACGTGGTGTAGCCAGAATCAAGATTTGCGGGTCTTTGAAAAATCGATTACGGCAAATAGCCAGTCAGTCTTTCCGGCCTGATCAATACTAGATCTGATCAATGCTAGCGTCTAAACCGTTCAGCCAATTTTCTCCAAAACTGATATTATGCGATTGATATGAACTAACTTGACGCTTTGAGAATTTCAACCTGATATTTTGATTTTGGGGCTACTTTACATGAAGTGTCAAAAACACTTTCATTTTTTCAAAAATGGTTCCTAATTTTTTGTTTAACTTTGTCTTTCGATCGCCAAAAGGACGCTTAAGAGCAGTTTATGTGAAAGGAAGCAGGTCTCCCGTTCGTGAAAATCCCTGATTTTTTAATCGAAATTTTTTCTTTAATTTGTTCTTGACGTTAATTTGTTTTTTGTTAATTTGTTCTTGACGCTTAAAAGAATAACGTAGGTATCATTTTCGTTGAACTTCCTGATTTTTCGATAATTGCAAATTTAGAAAAAACGCGAGAAAGTTATTGGAGCACGACTAGTTTATTATTACGGATACAACGTAAGACGTATCAAGTTGACCAATTAAGTGAAATTTGCGATATGTAACCACCGAGGAAAATGAATCCGCCAAACCGCTTAAAATAAAAAAAAAAAATATGAATCTTTCATAGGAGTTAAGAAAGTCGAATATCCAACAGCACGGGGAGGGTTTCGGTGCATTTTCATTTTCATTTTAAGGAGAGCATAAAAGAACAAGGCAATGATTTATCTAAATATAAAGGAGATAATGGTGCAGCAATTATTAGTGGAATTCACAAAGTGTTCAGAAAAAAAAGATGAAGTTGACAATACATTGTGAAGTGTGCTCCTCATAATTTAAATCTTATGTTTAATGATGCTGTGAACAGAATATTAGAAGTTCAGATATTTTACTGTTTGCTAGAAGAAAATTATGTTTTCTTTGATCGTAGCATTAATCGGTGGAACATGTTACCAAAGTGATGGATTCAGATAAAAAGAGAAACTATCTTAATAATAAATTACTAACAACTTTGATTTAAAAGGTGGACATCACGAAACGATTCCTTAATAGCTACATGATATTTTAATACATTTAATATATTTTAATATATTTTTCTATTTAAAAATAATACATTTTAAACAAAATATCTTAAATTAATGAAGCCCGTAACTTGAAAAAAGAAATGAAAAATTTTAAATTGTTTTTCATCTCGAACTGTAAAAATACCAAGATCAACCAAAAGCTGTTTCGAAATACCTTCAAAGCCCTCTTTTGGAATTGCAAACAGGACAAAATACTCGTTACAGCTTCAGAAGAATTGAAGACAGTTGGGAATCACTACGATGATTTAAAAAAAAATGGTGCAATAGACTTGTCCAGTCTGGAAAGTAGAAGTGAAATTTAATCAATGAGGGAAGAAAACTAAACGATATTTTGGCGAACTTTGCTAGGACCCACAACTCATTAATGGCCAAACAAATATAAATTTAATATTTACTATGGATACCTAGATATTTTCATTAACCAGTAGGAGCGACGATTTGTTGGATTGAAACACAGTGGTAATTTTAAAAGTGATTCATCCACAAGTTTTGATAGCACTTTCGAACGATGAAATTTACGAAGAAGCACAAAATCTCAATTAAAACACCCTGCAGATGTTACTGAAAACTTGTCCCAATTAATTCTTGCGCCTAATGAATGAACCACTGGTTTCATTCAGTGCTCTGCTACCGAACGGTGCACCTCAACCGCAGCTGATCGCTCCTCAGTACCTCGACTGGGACCAGTGATAAGAAATGCCTTAGCGGGGCATTATTACGGCCGTTCAACAAGCGAGTGACTTATTTAAATATCTCAGAGTAGTGAAGTGCATTTTAAACAGTGTTTATTACTAAAAATATCATCACGAAGTGTTGTCGCCCCGGCAACGGGCCCTCTCGGGCGACTTAGTGCGATCTTTGTTAAATGTTCAATCAAAGTATAGCAGAAACCGCGAACGCATCTTCTCCGCTGCTATTAGATGTGATGTCAGCTCTATACGCACTTAACTATTACCATTATACGGAGCCGCATCTAATTAATCACCTACAGTAGCAGCATCAGCTGTATGCGGCGAGCCAACCTGTAAATTCAACCTCCACGCAGCTGTCTACACCACCCGTGGGATATTCTCGACCGTCTCCACAGATAAGAGCATGGCATTCTACTTCTCTTAAGCGCCCCAGATTGCAAGATGCAGTGTATAACCAAGCTTCGTATGTGCAGGGATACAGCATGCCTTATAGTGCAAATGTGCCTTTATATAACGTCCCAACCGGCACTAGATTTTCCACTCTCGATCCTGACCCCGATCCTGCCCCAGAGCAAGGTGCCTCAAACAACGGATCTCCTTCCTCACAACCAATTGAGATACCTCCAATCATTGTTCACGATCCGCCTGCTCATACGGAACTCTTGAAAAAATTAAAGAATTGCTTAAACATGAAAATGTTACTAAATTGTTTGTTACTATAATCAGAGGACCTTACACTGAAATCAGAACAACTACAGTCGAAGATTTTACTTCGTAAGCACGTATCGACGTAAGGGTTGTACTATCATACCTACAGGGACCCGACAAAAATACTATTTCGGTGGTGCTACGACATGTCCCAGCATACTATAGTGAAGACGAAACTCATCAAGAAGATCATTTAGTAATAACCGTTATCAGACTGACTGATTCTAATCGTAAACCTTGGCCTTTGTGTGTGCAGAGACTGTTACGAAATTATTAGAAAGTGGGGTAATATATGAACTAAAAGAACTGTTTAATGCTATAATCACGGTTGAAGAGCGCCGTCACAGAGCCGGGCCAGTGCAGTGTCGAAGTTGTCAGATATTCGGACACACAAAAAAGAACTGTGGTAATCCTCGTTCAGGAAAATGAGCAGTGCCGCACTCCACGGCCGAATGTACTAGTACTGATCCAAAATATTCACTCTGCGGAAAGACTCATCGGTCATCTAGTCGCGAATGTGAAAGTTATCAAAAAATTCTCCATAGAAAATCACATTCATCCCGCTACCCCATCCGAAAACAATTCGCACAACAAGCGATGCCCCATCATCCACGTTCATTAACCCCTCCAAGGGCTCCTCTTGTAGCATGTCCTCCCACTTCCATCTCTATCACAATGCCAAAAGATCCAAATTCCCCCCGCCGTAGAATTCCACAGCCATCATTACGAAACCAAATGCAGCTATATTCAGATGTTTTCAAACAGCCCACACACCCGTTCATTGGGCAGCTCTTCCAGTTGGAACAATTTATCTCTCAACAGGTAGAACATTTCTTCTCCAGACTCCTATGATTCCTTCTCTAACAAACTACGTCCTTCAATCAATAAAATTATATTATCCATAAAACATTCCTATAAGTAGTGCTGCTCATTCGTCACTTCGTCTTATTTCATGGAATGCAAACGGTGTTAAACCTAATATTCATATGCTTGGCCACTTTTTGCACAATAATAAAATACAAGTAGCTGGCGTTCAGAAACCCATCTTTGCTCTTCGATGAAAATTTATATTCCCTGCTATTTTTTCATCCCTGTGACCGACCGCGAAATCGGCGAAGCGTTGATGTCGCCGATATCCATATTTGTAAAAAATTTCATAACATATCACCAGCTACCTTTGAATGTAAATAATACTTCGAAAATATTAGTGTGGCTATTCAGCAGAAATGTCAATCTACCCTAATAATCACTTCAACTTACAAGCCCCTTAATATTACAAACAGATCAGGTGATATTGATACCTTATTTTCCTCCCGTCAATCAACATTAGTGATCAGTGATTGGAATGCTAAACACGTTGCTTAGGGAAGTAGACTAAACTCACCTGCTGGTAATCTGTTTCTAGCTGACATACAAAGATTAAATATGGCAGGAAGTGCATGCTCCTGATACACGTAGCTACTATCCCTACCGCGCGTCAGGGGAAGCTGATATTCTAGATTTCAGCGTTTCTAACAACATTAGTTGTAACATTCAAGTAGAGACTCATATCGCTCTGCAATCCGATCATTGTCCCGTAGTTTTCTCACTCGGCACAATCTCTGAAGAAATTCGCCCCGCTCAACCTTACTATTTACGTAATGTAAACTGGCCATATAATCAGATGCTAGTTACACATCTACCTCTTTCCTTCTACCTTCTACATTTTATTGCTCTGCATCTAGTGCCTACGGGACTCAATACAGGTCCGCGACCTTCCTACGAAGCTTCATGGTTTATTTGCCCCTTAGGGATTAGCGAGCTGCCCCGAGTCTCTTAATACGACTGTTCCGGGAGTCAATCACCGGGGAGTCAACCACACAAAAGATCGAAGGGGTGTTATTCGGAGGTGGGTGGACGCCAGGGAATCCTTGGGGGTTGGCGCGCGCAGCTGCGCATGGTGAATTGTGCCAAAAGTGCCCTTATTAAGTTATTTTAATAGGCCAGTACACAGGGGTCGCGCTGTGCAATGGGTCTTTGCGACTCATTGCAATACATATATCATATACAAATACAATACAAACGTATTGGAAATTGTAGTCTTTTGAAAGGAATTGTAGATTCTGATAGTATCATAGGTATTTGAGGTAACAGGACGACTTCGCCTTTAAACTTTCCAGTCATTATCGTTGCTTCAAGCACTTTTCCGGTAATTTTTCTGATGACTAATCGTGTACCGTTGCATAATTTTGGTGGATTTAAATTACGCAATAGAATGACCGGTGAACCAATTTTGAGACGAACATTGTGTGGCGGCTTTCCTGGTACGTCCAAAGAATTTAA